TGACGTATACCTTCACAATTTGGCACAACAATTTGTATTGTGTCTAGGATGATTGGTATTGAAAATGAGATATATCGGTTCACGTTTTGGTATAGCCGCCATAGATGATTTTTGTATTTTTACGATATTCAGTGTTTTTACCATTTTTGCCACATCTTTCCACGGATTTGTCCAAAAATTGGTATTTGTAATTCATAATGAATTCTAGTTCATTGGATATTTTCTTTAACCAATGTTGTAGGGTATTAACGTTCGGACCGGTCGAACTTAATGTGTTTTTACTTGTTTTGAATAGAGATATTTTAGAGAAACAAAATTCATATTAATGCCCAGTTTTTCTGATGCAATTAAATGAGAGAAAATGGAAGAAATCGAACAAAAGTGGGTTTTCAAAATTCAATAGCACTGCTTAAAAAAGTTAAAACCAAATGTTAAAATATTCAAAAACTAGCAAATGCTCGCTATTTCGAATGCGAAGAAAGGAATTTATATTAAGTGCAATTATACGTGATTGCTTACAACAATTGAAGTGATTTTTCATATTTTCCCAATGCATAGTTTTTCCAGAAACCCAGTTGCATAAATAATGTTTCCGCTCTCTTTCGTGTTGGCGATACTAATTGGAATTCGAAAAAGGGCTGAAACAGAAAAATGAATTACCCTGGATTACCACAAGAAACGGGACGGGTGCGATTTCGTCGTTTTGACACTCTGAATGCTTTGATCTATGGACATTAATTGTATAAGGTGGTTTCTTCTGAAACCTATTAAGAAGCTTAAATATATTTATTTTGCCACACTTTGTAAGGGAGGTATTAGAATGAGTGAACCGATTTTGTCAATTTTCATCAGGCTGAATTAAATATTAAGATGTCCAAATTTTGACATTCATAAGGTAAATTATTTTCTTTAAAAATGTTGTGGGGAATATTGCCCATCTTCGAACTTGATGTAAATTTTGTACAAATATTATTTTGTGCAAAAATCATATACCGGCTTCGAGTCAAACAGACAGAAGGACGGATCTCGTATGGATCTCGCCCAATGAGATCCAGGGTCTGAAACTGTTATTTCGAGTAAGCACATTTGCCCGTATTAAATTACATACAAATGGCCGAAGGTATGAAAACATAATTAGATAAGACTAAGATTAGATGTAAAAATGGAAAGTGTTGGTCTACGCCTTCTTGAAAGATTAAAAAATTAAAAAAAAAATTGTTCATCATAATATTTTTGTCCATATTAGGCAAGTATGAAAATGAAACATATCAGTCCATTTATTGTGGTACTCGATATACAGTGCCACACTTCAGTTTGTTTAAGTGTATTGACCTCAAAACTTCGTCCGCTCATCGCACTGCGTAGACGCTCAGTTTCCATTTTGAGCCAATCGAGTATCGATGACTTGTAACCCTTATTGAGTACCATTTATTACACCTGTTACGCTATTCCTCACATTCCACTCGCTAACATAAAAAAGCACAACTATGAAATCCGTACGTGACAACCTAATAACAGCTTGGGTTTGTGCGTGTGTGAATGTTAATTTGAATAAATAATATATACATATTCATAAATTCCCATATTCATACGGACACACACACACACACACCTATGTCCTTGTGTTAAATGTGTGTATTTGTTCATATATTGGCTACTGGGTACTTGAAATAATAGTACCTTTTCATTGGCGGCCGTATTTGTCGAGCGAGCATACCCACCAGTACCACATTTGCTCCTTAACAATTCGTTGTGAATTGCTACTCAAGTGCAATTAAATTTTATGATTTTTCAATTGTCATAAAAACCTGGCGAAATAAATAAAATAAAAGGCCATGCGAACAAAAAATGAACAATCGTCGCAATGGCGACAGCAGCACTTGGTGTTTGCTGGGTTATAATGGGTTTTAATGACACTTCCAAAAGTGCCACAGTTTGTTTTATTATTTCTTTTTTTTTTCGAATTTTATTTTCAACGAAGGACGTCCCCATTTGTGGTTCTGTCGTGCTCCTGTTGTTAAAGAAACCACATTATTGCCAACCTGGATTGGGTCCATGTGGCTGTTTGTTATCGGCAACAAAACAACAAACAAGCAGATGCTTAAAACCGGAAAATATGAGGCATAATAAAAGTGTTGTCGAATACGGAGAACAAAAAAAATGTATATGGCATAAACGACGAAATGAATTGAAACAAAATAAAGATTAAAAAATAACGAAAACAGGAATATCATTCTTACCATCTGTGTGATTTTGGGAACATTGTTTTTTTTCTGGCAAACGAGAAAATTGGAAAAGTGAAATCACTGAGTTGTTTTCAAAGCAAATAAAATAAAAAAATGCAGTTTTAAGGTTTATCTTAAATTTCAGTTCCATGCAGCAAAAACTTGGTGATACCACGATTTGATAGCCATTTGCAAATTAAATTTTAATTTGCAACTGATAATATTTTTACTGATTTATTTCTTTCCGATTCAAATGACTATTCTACTTAAATTAAATTAAATTAAGTTTAAAACGAACAAATTAATTGTATGAAGTTTCAATTGCTACGATTTTCAACTACTGTCACTTGAATATTGCTTATGAATTTGTTTGTAGCTGTAGTGGACTTGAAAATGGTCCGATTGGCATGCTTCAAATGAACCAAAGCTGTGTATGATTTATAACATTTACTGCAATACAATTTGGTGTCATTGCTCACGGAAAAAATGGAATATAAATTAAGTAATAAATGTCATTGTATTTGAATACAATCATAGACCAACATTCATTTGCATACCACACTTCTGTGACTCATTAAAGTAACGAAAGGACATTTCAAATACAGCAATGATTTTTTTTCTTATCGCTAAGTACGTTCTTAATCTCAAGGAAGACACATATTAAATTGATTAACAATCTAACATATTGTATGTGATATATCTAAGGCGTAGTAAGATTTTTACTTGCAATCTATATTTATCTATAAAAGAGGAAAATTTTTGTAATTTGATTGTTTGTTTGTAATTTATAGACTCAAAAACCGCTAAATAGATTTTTTTCTGAAAATTTCCGGTCTGAAAGTAACATAGGCCATATAAATTTTTGAAATTAGACTTGGAACTGGAGATTTGGCATCAGAATCGGAGGTACCTCGCAAAAATTTAGATTTTATATGCACATACAGGGTGAGATGAAAAACTGCAACCAACTTCACACTGCTATCATTTCCAACCCACTCGTCCGACAGACGTTAAAATTATTCCAGTGACAGCTCATCATATTATTTACAAGCGTACAAACGCATTTTGGTGAGAATTTTCCAGAAAAAAAGTTATTCGTTATGGAATTCAAGTGCGATAGTGTGATTTCTTTATATTTTGCTGGAAAACCACAAGGGGCTAGCGTAGTCCGAAGTCAAGCAAGTGGACGGATGCAAAAAGCACCATCAGCAGAAGTGGTTCGAACAGTGAAGAAGCGACTTGATCGAAACCCTTGTCACGGTGGCCGAAAAATGGCTCGTGAGCTAAACATATCGTAATATTCCATTCGGCAAATATTGAAAAATGAGCTCGGGATAAAGCCATTGAAATTCCAAAAAATGCAAGATTTTACACCGCAACAGAAAGAAAATAGCCATGGTGATGGTGTGGGCCGCCATAACATCCGATGGTCACTCTCCGCTCGTATTAATCGACCGTGGCATCAGAATAAATGCCGTATATTATCGCTAAAATATTCTGGAGGGTGTATTAAAGCCTTGGACACGCAAACATTTCGTGCCAAAGGTGACTAATTCGACCAAGTCTAAACTTATTCTAAAATTTGATGCTATTTCCGACATTTTTTGTTTTCATTCAATGAAATTAAAAAAAAAAAAAATGTAAAAACTATGGCGTTTGACTTTGTTGCATTTTTTTTTTTTTTTGAATTCTTGAAACAGTTTTATTTTTCATGTATTCCTGTATAATATATTGAATGCATTTAAAAAACAGTAAGTTCCGCCGGGCCGAACTTTGAATACCCCCCACCATTCGGAACGAATTTGGGAATTTTCAAAAAATAAAATCCGTTAAAAATTTTGATAAAATGTTAAAAATAGCGAATAGCGATATAACGGATATATATTGGGGTCTATTCGACGTCGACCTACATAGGCATTGTTTGTCATAAGCCGTTACCATATTCAAATTCGAAACTTGAAATAAACGGTGAATTATGTAGCTAAAACCATCAAAATACGAAGACCTGGGTGTTTGAAAGACTCAAACATGTGTGTGGAAATGGAATTGGTGTTTCACACGCTTATCTAAATATTATTTAGTTTTAGTTTACTTTATGCTAAGTACTTACATTCTTCTCAACATAGAATTTACTCTTCAGTTTAGTGATAATTTTGTATTGAACTATTTACGTACGACTATGTTTAATAGTTTTTGTAAATTATAATCTACCCAACGCTGTGTTTGCCTGCTGCATAAGATAATGAGCATGTAATAAAGATTTTATGACCCCCACAAGAGATATGCAGGCAAGACAATGTACGCAAGATGAGTCGCGTTGGTCTATCACCAATTCATATGTATTCTTGAATAGAAAGTAAGGGTTGCTAGATAGTGTGTAAGGTTAAGAATTATTTTGTAAACTAGCACTTAAGATGGAATTATGAAAAAATAAATTCAGTGTCGAATCAAGCATCATACGAGCATTTTCATTCTCCTCCCGAACATTTGGTCCATCGAGCGCTCACTTTAGCGAAAGTGAAGGAACTAGCAAACATCAAAAATCGAATCAACAACAATCAAAAACTATTCAACATTAGGAACAAACAACTTTAACAACATCAACATCAAGTGTGGTAACAGCAGTTAAACAACTCACCAACCACAATATAACAATCTACAAAACTCAACAACAACATTGATCAACAATCGCAAACAAAAAAAAAAAATATCTACAAAAAAAAATTAATTAAACATCGATCAACTACAACAACATTTTTAAAAGGACTTATCAAAATGCCTAGTTGCCAAGAAATGTACTCTCAACAATACACAATCTTCAAAGTGTTAGATGCTATGTTGCAGACGGCGCGAGGTAGGAAATATCGCAGTAATACCATACCAGACATGCGTAAGAAGGTGCTAGAACAATGGGAAACATTCTGCAGAAATGATGAGGCACTCAAAAAAAGGGACGATAAGAATGAAAATGACCCGTATTATAAGGAGAAAGCGTATGAAATTGCACAAAAGATGAAAGAGGACATATGGAAGATTTTAAATGATGCAGAAGCAGAAGAATCCCACACCGTTAAAATAAGTCCACAACAAGGAGATTCAAGTCCACAAGAACATAGTTTAAATGCACCGCAGTTATCATTCAAATTAATGGAAATTGGTGAAGTGACAAATGAAAATCACAACAAACTAGCAAGATCATTAGAAAATCAATTTAATTCTAACGTAGCAGAATTAAATTCTATGATAAAACTGGTCGAAACCAAGAAAGACAAGATATATTTAACAAAACTGCTTGAGAGACTGGAAGTCCAGATGAACAGACTGCTCGACATTCGATCAGAAATGGCGAGAGAAGGTGCAGGAAATGACTTTACGGAAGATCAGTGGGAACAGTCCGGAGAAGATTTCAACAAAGCTCAGATGCAAATAACAGAATTGTTGACATCTTTAGAAGCGGCACAAAGAAAATCCGTAATGGTCGAAAAAATAAAAATTCCAGAGTTTAGTGGACGTCGTGAAGATTGGAACTCATTTTATGAATTATTCCGCACATTAGTGCACGAAGATAAAAATGCCTCAGATCAAGAGAAGCTGTTTCGTCTACGGTCAGCTTTGAAGGGGGATGCACTGCAGATTATTCAAAACATGCCGTTAACCAGTTCAGCATATGAAGGGGCTTTGGAAGCATTACGTAAAAGGTACGACAATAAAAGGACTCTATTCACACATTATGTGGACAGCCTATTAGATGTGCCAAAAATTAATGGATCATCAGTGCACAGTATCAAGAAGTTATTGGATACAGCTATAGAGAGCATTGAGGGAATCAAATCCATGAATTTGAAACTGGGAGATGCATACCCAATTCTGGCACACATAATAGTGCGCAAATTGGATAAAGAGACTCTTTTACAATATGAACAGACAATACAAAAGTGTACGGAAATTCAAGATATCAAGGACGTTCTAAAATTCTTGGAGCAAAGATATCAAACTTTGAATTCAGTTTGGTCTATAGATGATGGAGATAAGCAGAGATTCAAGCGACAATACAGTTTTGAAGTGGCAGCAACAAACAGCGAAGAAAATCAAATAAAATGCGGTTATTGCAAAAGTTTTGGGCACAAGATTCACCAATGTCAGCAGTATAAAACATTAACAGTGAAGGAGAGGATTGATTGGGTAAGACGGAACGAGCTGTGCACTAACTGTTTAAATCATAAGGCAACAAGAAGATGCATTAGCAAAACGAATTGCTTTATGTGTAATGGCAGACATCACACCAGCCTTCATATTGAAAAATCGGCTTCAGGAGGCAACAAAGGAAAATCAACATTTACCACAATAAAAGAAATGCATCATGTATTAATTGCAACAGCACAGATACGAGTAAAATCGAAGCAAAACGAATACATCACCTTGAGAGCATTAATCGATCCTTGTGCTCAGGCGTCTTCAATCAGCGAGGAAGCCGTACAGATATTGCAGTTGCCAAAGCAAAGAACAGATGTAACACTGCATGGACTTGGAGGAGCAGTCGTCGGTAAAGCAAAATCGAAAGTTATTATTGAAGTGAAACCCAGATTTTTAAGCGATTTCGCTGTGAATATAGAGGCAGTCGTACTTCCTGAGTTGGCTTCAGTTCAGCAGGATCCAACGTGTGAATACGATATAGATAAATGGGAAAATTTTACGCTAGCAGATCCGGACTTTACATCGTCAGATAGAATCGACGTGCTGATTGGAAGCGATGTCTACCACGAAATCCTTCAAGATGGTATTCACAAAAAAGATAGTATATTGGCGCAGAGGACGAAGCTAGGATGGATACTGTCGGGACCGACTACGGAAAAAAAGGGAAGCAGCAAGAAAATTGTAGCAACTACTACTCTGGAAAGATTTTGGGAGATAGAGGAGGTGAGCGACAATCAAGCAGTGACAGAGGATGACTTTTGTATATCAAATTATGGCTCAACAACATCGTTAGCGAATGATGGCCGGTTTATGGTCAGACTTCCCTTCAGGGAAGACGTTGAATTAGGAGATTCACGTAAAAGAGCTATGGCAAGATTTTTGAACATTGAAAAAAAATTATGCGCCAACCCTGAACTAAAAATGGAATACCAACAGTTTATGGAAGAATATATTAGTATGGGGCATATGGAACGAGTAGAGCCAGAAATACGGGGAAAATACTACCTTCCCCATCAAGCTGTCATCAGAGAAAGCAGTATAACTACAAAAGTAAGAGTGGTATTTGATGCGTCTTCCAAGACATCAAATGGAAGAAGCTTGAATGATATTCTCTACGCTGGGCCAAGATTGCAGAGAGATATTTTTGATATCCTTACAAAATGGCGGAAACATCAGTTCGTCATAAGTGCAGACGTGGAAAAAATGTACCGACAAATTTGGGTACATAAAGATGACCAAGAATACCAATATGTGTTGTGGAGATCCAGCAGCGAAAGTCCAGTAGAACAATACAGATTAACGACAGTGACGTACGGTACGGCGTGTGCGCCGTTTTTGGCGTTAAAGACGCTTGACGAAATTGGATCTCAATGTGAAGATAAAGACATTGGCGCTATTATACAAAATGATTTCTACATGGACGATTTGTTAACCGGAGCAGATTCTATTTCAAGATGTAAAGAATTACAGGAGAAAATAAATAAACATCTAGCAAAATATGGATTTAAACTACGGAAATGGATTTCGAACGATAGTGATGTCCTAAAAAACATAGACGCAAAGAGAGAGAATGATGTACTTCACATAGAAGAAGATGATTGCTTAAACACGTTGGGGCTGAAATGGTATCCAGCAAGTGACACATTTGGATTTACAACGCAACTTTACAATGAACAACGGATAACCAAGCGGAAAGCCCTGTCCTATTTGGCCAAAATATTCGATCCATTAGGATGGCTAACACCAATAACAATAACGGCGAAGCTTTTTATTCAACAACTATGGGTAATGGATATTGGATGGGATAATGTACTAATAGAGGAGCTGAATAAACAATGGAGAGGGTTCACGAGTAAGCTAAACTCACTGATTTCGATTCGAATACCTCGATGGTTGCACGTATCCAGCTCAACTGAAGCACAACTGCATGGATTCGCGGATGCATCGGAAAAGGCTTATGCAGTCGTAGTTTATGTTAAAGTGAATGGAGTTGTTCAGCTAGTAGCAGCTAAAAGCAAAGTCAATCCCATTAAAAATAGGAAGACGTTACCAAAACTAGAGTTGTGTGCGGCGAATTTATTAGCGAAACTTATGACAAAGGTTATGAAAATTTTGTCAATAGAAGCAAATGTATTTATGTGGAGTGATTCGTCGATAGCGCTGTCATGGATACGTAATAGTTCTAGTAAAGATCGATTTATAAGGACAAGAGTGAAGGAGATTCAACAATGGGTACCAGCAGCCAAATGGCAATATGTAAAATCAAAGGAAAATCCGGCAGACATGGGATCCAGAGGGATATCAGCAGACAAGTTACCAGAGAATAATCTCTGGTGGAATGGTCCGTCGTGGTTAATGCGAGATGAAGAGAGCTGGGATACAAAGGAACCTGTGTATGTCAATGTGGCCGTCACAAATGCGAACAGCGGTCCCAACTATTTCAATCATATGGTAAAAGATTATTCATCGTTTACACGACTTAAGCGAGTGATAGCGTATGTGCTCAGATATATCGCAAAGCTACGCGGAAAAAACTTTCCAGATTACTTGACTGTGGAAGAATTACGAGCTGCAGAAATGTTTTTAATAAAAGGCCATCAACAACAAGAATTTCCAGAAATTGTCACGAGACTAAAAAATAATACGCCGATTGATCACAAACACAAGCTGGCTTCATTAAATCCCTTTTTAGACGAGAATGGCGTGTTGAGAGTTGGAGGTCGATTACAATTAGCTTCGCTGGCGTATAATCGTAAACATCCCATAATACTCAATAAATCAGAGCTGAGTGATCTAATTATCAAGGACGCACATGTGAAAACGCTCCATGGTGGAAATCGGATAGTGGAACATTTGCTAAAAAGAAAATTTTGGATTATTGGGTTGAAAAACAACGTAAAACGGCTGAATCGGGGTTGCGTCAAATGTATACGATATAAACGAGAAAATCAATGCCAGCTAATGGGAATGTTACCAGAATATAGAGTTAATGTATCTGCACCGTTTACACATTGTGGTGTAGACTATGCAGGACCAATATACATGAAGTGTTCAAATGGCAGAGGCCAGAAAACATATAAAGGATACATTGCGGTATTTATTTGCATGACAACAAAGGCAATTCATTTGGAACCGGTTAGCAGTTTGACGTCAGAAGCATTTCTGGCGGCCCTAAAGCGCTTGTTTGCCAGAAGAGGTAAAAGTAGTCATATATATTCTGACAACGGCACAAATTTTGTTGGAACAGTTAAACATTTGGATAGAGATTTAAAAGCCGCCATGAAGGAGAATAACGCACTAGCACCTATATTAGCGACAGAAGGAGTGCAGTGGCATTTTATCCCCCCGGCAAGTCCCCACTTCGGAGGAATATGGGAAGCGGCTGTTAAATCAATGAAATATCATTTACGAAGAGTTATTGGTGAGAGTAAATTGACATTTGAAGAAATGTCTACGCTTTTATATCAGATCGAGGCCGTGTTAAATTCGAGGCCGCTTTATAACATGGATGATAATGCTGGCGAGGTGGAAGTCCTCACACCTGGACATTTTCTAATCGGAAGGCCCTTGATAAGCTATCCAGAAACGAGCGACGAACACAAGATTACAGCCCTAGATCGTTGGAAGCAAGTGCAGAAAATGAAAAATTGTTTTTGGAAGCAATGGAAATCAAACTATCTAGAAACACTCCAACAACGGTACAAGTGGAAAACCGAAAAGAAGAATATACAGAGGGGACAAGTGGTGATAGTTAAGAATGAGGAAACACATCCTGGACGATGGCCGTTAGGTAAAGTCGAAGATGTCCATCCAGGACCGGATGGGTTAGTAAGAGTCGCCACTTTAAAAACCCAAGCAGGGTTGATAAAGAGATCCGTGAACAAGTTGTGCCCATTAGAAGGCGTAAAAACTGATGAAAAACGTGACAGCTCCAATGGAAAGAGAACCGGCAATCTGGCAGGCTACTTAGTGCTTTTGCTTCTTGCTTTAACTCAAGTAAAACCTACGGTCGCTGACAGCTTAACCAATATCACGGAGCTGCAGGAGTCAACCGCACTATATTTGGACCAGGTTGGATCAGTGAATGTTGTAGCCTCGAAATGGAACATGATCATAGTTTTTAATATGCTTCCATTTTTTGAATCCATGGAGAAATGCGAGACCGTGTTAAAAACGATGATGCCACTATGCGTAAAGTTGCAGATATTCGAGCCGCAGTGCGACAATATTCTAAGAACTATGGAGAGGCAGGTTCGGAGTCTACAAGACACTAACGAGTTCTTGTTCTCGAGAACTAGTAGGAGGCCCAAACGAGCGCCATTAGAGTTCATCGGGTCACTCCAGCACGTCCTATTCGGAACTATGGATGCGGAAGATCGGAAAAAAATAGAAGAAAGCTTGCAAAACTTATTGGAAAATCAATATAACCTGAAGTTTATGATGCAAAAACAAACCTCGGTCGTGGAATCTACGATTAATATTCTGCGCACTACTATGGAAGATGTAAATACCAACTTCAAGAAGATACAGGATCAGATGAACAACATAACGGCGGCTATGGAAGAGTCATACTTCGTTTATAGAGAGTCGATTCGGTTTTTCATGGTAACCAAAGATTTGGACGCAATAATTCGCGAGAACGAAAGAGTACAGTCGAGTATGATAAACCTGCTTATTGACATTAACCATGGGAAGCTCAATCCAGCCTTGATTACGCCGTTACAACTTCAGGAAGAAATGACCAAGATAAGAGAGCACATGCCTGAACACCTCAAATTTCCTGGAAAAAAGTATGATCAAATTAGAGCGGTATACAAACTTCTTACTGCTAAGGCAGCATTAATTGAGGACCGACTGATGGTTTCAGCTAATATTCCATTGTTCACGCAACACACGTCTCAGCTGCATCGGATCATCCCCCTACCTATTAGGCTGAACGGTGGGAAAGTTGTAGCACAGCCATCGGGACATTATCTGATATATAATTTCCACAGGGATGCCTACCATATAATGACGCAAGCTGAGTTAAACATGTGCCAGCTGTACATTGACGATGAATATGTTTGCGAAGGTAATTGGCCATGGGTCGACGCAAATGACCATTCGTGTGAGGTGTACTCTCTTAAGCCCCTAAATGCACCGAGATGCCAGTTCTCTGAGACAAAGATGGAATCGCTATGGACGAAGCTGCAAGCCAACAACCGCTGGTTGTTCAAAGTTTTTCAACCAACAACAGCTCACGTATCCTGCAGTCGAGATTCACAGCAAATAGTCCAGCTACCGAGTCAAGGCATCATTACGATGAAGCCAGGATGTACATTAAGGGTAAAAGGAGCAACAATTTCCACACCTTTCAATATTGCATCGAAGAAGGTCGTGGAAGACAAATCATCTTTCGTAGCAGACATAAACCGGCTGTCTAATTTCTCGGTCATGCCTTTAGGGCCGATGGTGGTAAATCACTCAGCAAGGCTAGCGGAAATAGAGTCTCAGTTGAAAACGATCGATGTCTCACAGCTTAATCTAAAAGGGTTGAATTTTCATCACATCTCCGGGCACTTATCTCTAATGGTCATGGTAGCCGCCTGCATAATAGCTCTAATATGTTCAATCAGAAGATGCATAAAACCGACAAGAGTAGCATCTATTCACTTTGCCCCCCCGCAGAATGTTTGAAAGACTCAAACATGTGTGTGGAAATGGAATTGGTGTTTCACACGCTTATCTAAATATTATTTAGTTTTAGTTTACTTTATGCTAAGTACTTACATTCTTCTCAACATAGAATTTACTCTTCAGTTTAGTGATAATTTTGTATTGAACTATTTACGTACGACTATGTTTAATAGTTTTTGTAAATTATAATCTACCCAACGCTGTGTTTGCCTGCTGCATAAGATAATGAGCATGTAATAAAGATTTTATGACCCCCACAAGAGATATGCAGGCAAGACAATGTACGCAAGATGAGTCGCGTTGGTCTATCACCAATTCATATGTATTCTTGAATAGAAAGTAAGGGTTGCTAGATAGTGTGTAAGGTTAAGAATTATTTTGTAAACTAGCACTTAAGATGGAATTATGAAAAAATAAATTCAGTGTCGAATCAAGCATCATACGAGCATTTTCATTCTCCTCCCGAACACTGGGCCTGTATAAACAATTTTCTGTAGCTGCGTCCATTACGACCTTCAGATTCGAAATCTCAAAAAATTTCGGTGAGTATTGTAGTTAAAATCGTCAAAATATTGAATATAGGGAGGTACTGACTGAATTCCGGTGAATAATGTCGCTAAAATCATCAAAATACCGAATATCGGGAGGTACCGTTATATGGGGGCTATACGAAGACGTGAACCTGCACAGGCAATTTTCTGTCTTAAGCTGTAGTATCCGATACAAACGTCAAATGTCAAATTGTAATTCCGGTGAATAATGTCGCTAAAATCAAACGTAGACCTACATGGCACATTTACGAACTTGACCTGCCTACTCGCAAAATAAATATGTGTGCATAAGTTTGGCTTTCTATCTCAAATCGTTCGAAAGATAAAGATACACAGACACATAGACAGACAGAGAGAGGGACATCGCTAAATCGACTTAGAATTTTACGCTGATCAAGAATGTATATACTTTGTTGGGTCTGACATGAGTATTGAAGAGTTACAAACAGAATGAAAAATTTAATATACCTTCCATAGTATGGTGGAAGGTATAAAAAGTATGGCGAAGCGCCCCGTGTTCAGATAGTAGCCGATAAACAATGTAAAATATATATTTTCAAAACAAATTTTCTGATCAAGTTAAATTTGTAAGGCCGATTTTTCTATAATATTTTACAAAATATGATGCAACCTAATTCCGACTAGAAGAGGGTTCAGATAGCAAATTGTGTCGGCATATTGCCAATTTCGCAAAAGATATCTTGTTGGTACTACTCTTGAGGTATGTGAATTTGGGAAAAGATCACAGAAGCTTTACAAATTCTGATAAAAGTCTGATTTACCAGAAATTAACTATTTTCTCAAAAAAAAAAAAAAAAAAAAAAAAATTCAAACCTGATAAATATGGTACGATGTTTGAATTTTCAATTTCATTTCCAAAAAATCAAGAATCGTTTTAAGAAAAAATGAACTGAAACGATATTGTCCATATACCAAATTTAACGTTCGAGTTCGAAACATTACAATACGCCCAGTTCTCAAATCTAGAAATGGTGTTTTTTTTTCTTCAAAATTTTTTAGACATGTTTGTGCTGATATTCTGGGTATTTATATTTTTTCACTTACTGGATATACCCATTCCCCACCTCTGCTCATATGATTTTTCCTATTTCCGAAATTTAAACCTACAAACCTGATTCGAATTCCTTAAATCTTTTTTTAAATGGAAAAAGGCAAAAAAGACCTTGTTAACATCTGCCCACCATCGTAGCAGGCTTTCGGTGTCATTATCGCCTAGACACATAATTTAATTAACAATTTCATTTGATAGCCGCACAAATAGTCGGTCGCCTTGAACGGCAAATCTTATTCCGTGGGAAACCCAATGATAGATCTAATGGAATGGAGCATAAAGCGGATACCCAGACTATGAATAATGACTGACTTTGCACTCATGGGATTTATTTTATAGTTCTGAATTCATTATTTCGTAGTGCCCCTTCCGCCGGTAATCATTGCCGTTTATGACACCATCGCTGCTCTCGTCTGTATTTCTTTTGGAAGTTTTATTTTATGACTTAAAGAAATTGTAAAGATGCGTCAATTCTCTGTTATTTGTGAGTGTGTGTGTGTTCTCTTTTTGGCGATTTGGCGGGGGTTGGTG